CTACTAGAAACAAGTGCCACGCTAGTAGTAACAGGTGCCTTACTAGTAGTAACAAGAAGCTACGAACGGGGCAGAGTATCCACCATGTCTCAGTCGTGTTTCACAGGCCGAGGCGCCCAAGAGCGAAGTGGTGCCGAAGAAGTTACTCGATGAAACGAATTGGGTAGGTCGCGAGTGGAAGTATTAGGTAGGTTAGCTAGGTAGGGAGAGGTAGCTAGTAGGAGCTAGGTAGCTACTACCTCCAAGCAAGCTACTACATATGGACCAATAAAAACCAAATGAGAGAAAAAAGCCTCCAACCCAAGAGCATTGGCCTCCAACCTAATAGCGAAGACCTCCAACCTAACAGGAATGCCCTCCAACCTAATAGCGATGGCCTCCAACCTAAGAGCAAAGGCCTCCAACCTTATAGCAATGGCCTCCAACCTAAGAGCAATGGCCTCCAACCTAATAGCAATGGCCTCAACCTAATAGCGATGGCCTCCACCCTACTAGCGATGGCCTCCACCCTACTAGCGATGGCCTCCACCCTACTAGCCATGGCCTCCACCCTACTAGCGATGGCCTCCAACCTAATAGCGATGGCCTCCAACCTAATAGGAATGGCCTCCAACCTACCAGCGATGGCCTCCAACGTAATAGGAATGGCCTCCAACCTACCAGCGATGGCCTCCAACCTACTGGCGACGTCCTCCACCCTACTAGCGATGGCCTCCATGCTACTAGGGATTAACTCCAACCTCCTAGCGCTGGCCTCCAACCTACTAGCGATGTCCTCCACCCTACTAGCCATGGCCTCCATGCTACTAGGGATTAACTCCAACCTCCTAGCGCTGGCCTCCAACCTACTAGCGATGTCCTCCACCCTACTAGCGATGGCCTCCATGCTACTAGGGATTAACTCCAACCTACTAGCGCTGGCCTCCAACCTAAGGGAATTATATTGAAAAAGAGCAAAAAGCCGCTTTAGGCTGACGAAGCGTTCTGCAAAGTTTGGAATGGAGATCTCAACTTTGGATGACTGGTGGCCATTCCACAATCCTGAAGTCTGAGTGTGCCACAATGATGAGACACTGACACTGGTCAAAAGATGTCAAAATGCCATACAGTCATGTAGCAAAACAAACACATGTGAAATACAGTAGGCATAAAAGATGCACATGGTTGTTTTCCATCTCGTAGATTGTGACAACCTTTTCCAAGCCGCATGATGGGATGTTCTCATCCAAAATCGTCGTCCATCCTGCTGAGGCCTGCAAAGCCCGCCCTGCGGCGCCGCACCACCTTTGCTGTTGCACCCCGCGGGATGGCGCCTGAACCGCAATGGCATCCAAAAACAGAAAGAGAAAAGAAAAAGGGTAAAAAAAGGATACAAAAAGAAGAAACCTAATAGCGATGGCCTCCAACCTAGCATTTTGCTTTGGGGGAAGCATGGAAGCGTTGAAGCTGATTTTGTTGTCATGGCCAAAGTTGGGATCTGCACTCCAGTAGACATGTCATGAATGTGGACTTGGGGAATGTAATTACTGCCTTTGCGCAATGCAACGAACTTTGCTGGGGCTACAAACAGCTGACTCAATGGAAAGCGTGTCAGCAAGGGAATTGCATGAACAGTCCAGTGCTGGGGTGTTTTTAGACCTTTAGACCTGTTTCGACCTGTTTTCGTCAACCTGTTTTCTGTTTTTGTCAACCAGTTTTCAGCGTGTTCGTGTGAAGAGTCAGGACGCCGAGACCTTGCCATTGAGCTCCTTGGCAAATCTAGACGACTCCCCTGCACTGCGAACGACGCTGGAGAACATCGAAGTGACCAAACTGTCCAAATCACTTCGATGTTCTTGAAGGTGCTGATTCCAGCCTTAAATGCAACAAGAACATGTCCATTTTTTTGGATGTTCCGCAAGCAAGTAGTGACTCTGGGTGTGTTGCTCAGCGCCTCCGAGATCGCCAAATGAAGTCTGTACCATGGCTCTTCGGGGTCATTCTTTTTGAAGGGTTCTATTTCCAGACTCTTTTCTCTCTTTGATTGGAGGCAATCGCTATTTCATTCTTCAGATTGCTTCACCTTCCAGAGCAGGTCTGGTCATTCACATCAAGCCGAGGATTCCTCATTGGAGGAGACGCTTTGGTGGCGAAGGCAGCGAAGCGAGCTTGGTTCATCTCGATGATTCTCAAGATAGAAGCAAAGCAACCACAGATAAAGAGCTCCGAAACAGAAGGAAAAATAAGACGTTGAAGAATACATTTAAAAGATAGTTCTCCTAATAGAACAAAACCGACCGGTTTGCTGAGGGTTTGTTTACCGCTTGTGAGCGTTGTGTCGAAACGACAGGCCAAGCCATCAGGCGGCCAGTTGCTACGGCCAAGTTTGAGGAAAGGAACCCAGACGCTTGGCATCGCTCAGGGAGAAAAAGCACTTGTAGATTCATTGAATTGTTGAAAGACATTGTGTTTTCAACTATGTTTTATTTTAAATATTGTTGTTTTAAACTTTTATCAAGCTCAAGGACTTCAAGATCTTACAGGTTGCTTTCTTTGCTGGCGAAGCAATCTCAATGACACTGGATTGTGATTGTACGCAGCACACATATCGCCCAACCCAGAAATTGCATGGATCACCGTTCTAGGCTCCTGGCCTTACTACTCGGAGCAAGAAGCTACTAGGAACAAGTGCATCGCTTCTAGTAACAAGTGCCTTACTAGTAGTAACAAGAAGCTACGAACGGGGCTCCTGGCCTCGCTACGAACGGAGCGATCGCTACGATCGGACGTGTTCTGTGTGACCTGCCCGCTTCTGTTCGGTCGCGACCGATCCTCCGATCCAAGGACCCTCGAAGGCCCTGTCTCTGTGTGGCAACGAATCGACTGCGCAGGCAGGTGCTTTTGTTGCGCAGATGTGGCGTTCAGGTTCCGAAAGCCTCGGCTCTGGATGTTTCTACACTGTAGGCTGCTCAGTGTGGCTGTAGCTTCGACCATCCGCCAGGCCTTCCCACTGCAAAGCCTTCGGAGGGCGCCGTGACGGCGACTTGGAGAAAAGAGAGGAAGAGCTATAGAGCTACGGCGCCTCCTAGTAGCGATGGCCTCCACCCCAAGAGACGAGATGAGAATTGGAACAAAACCTAGCGGATACTACGGAGTCAGAGAGCTTGTTGGTACAGCATACCTCGTCGGGATGGAGAGACAAAGGCGTCCCGAACAAGCGAGAAGTAGAGAAACTGTGTCTTTTCATGGGGTGATTCCAAAATGTTCCGATCCTTCTGAAAGGTTTGGTTTGGAAGACACCACCCACTTCACCCCATTCGTTGCCACACCTTCCCTTGCAACGGAGCCAAGTGGACGATGTGTGCAATAAGTTCACGAGTGTGACATCTCAGAATAGATGATAATAGTTTTCAGTTGGTAAGACGCTGCCCCCCCCACATTTTGAACAAAACAAAAGCAAAAACAACAATAGTTTCAGCTAACCACTTGACCACTTGCAGGTCCTTTGCTTCTGCGAGAGCCATGACCCGGCAGATCGCTATGAGCTCTTGGCCGTGGGCTGCAAGAGCGGTGCCGAACTCGGAAGAATGGAGAAATCGAAGAGAGAAAGGTGGAAGAATGAAGAATTGGATGAATCTCGGACACTTCGAGACCTCATCGCACATCGAAGATTGAGAGATATGTGTTTGTGTGTGTTTTTTTAAACGTATCCAAAATGAATGCATGAAATCTGCGAGCGTGCCCGTAAAGGTACCTTGTCCATCTTCCGCATCCGCCGTACTGCCCTGGAGACCTGGTGTTCGAAGCACGAAGTAGACAAGTGTCACCTGGAGTCCGGAAGGGAAGAAAGGAAGAAAGCTCAATCGTGATCATGTTGGAAGCCATTGCTAGTATAGGTTGAAAAAACTAGACAAGGGAAAGGACAGAAAGGTCTAAAGTCGAGAGGAGCGCATCAGACCTTCAAAGACTGATGAACAGGAGCAAGGATGCTACTAGGAGTAAAGGGCATCGCTACTAGGAGCAAGGACGCTACTAGTAACAAACGAGAAACACCAAAAATTATGTTTGCTCTTGACAGGAGCGGGGCATGGAGGAAGAGGAGGAAGGTGAGGACATTCAGGCCGGTGATGTTAGAGGGATGGATTGAAGCCATTGGTTTTCTATGTATGTGCTTAGACTCTGTTGCTTTGTGTTTTTGAGTCTTCTAGTCAAGGGAGGAGAGGAGAAGCTGATAATGCTTCCCCTGTGTCCGAAGAATCGACATACTCCGTGTTTCGGAACTTCGGGAACCTGTGTTTTTCAAAAAGAACGACGGCAGAACTGCCAGGTGGTAGCCAAAGAGCAGGCCCATGCCAAGGCCATTACGCCATGAGCCCCAGTGGTCCTAGTGGTCCAGGCACACGGAGCCGTAGACTGGTCTCGTAGAGCTGGTAGCATTTGTTTCGAAACATGTGCCTTGTGTTGTCATTGTGTGAACAGATGTTGCTTAACAGTGAACAGCAAAGATTGCGAAACATAATCTCGGGTTCGAATTGCAATGCGGAATGACATGTCCTCTTTTCCAAACGTCCGTGTCTCTTCGAATTTGGTGGCAAACTCCAGGGAGTTCATGAGAGCCGATGCCCTTTGCTCGGTTCGTAGCGTCCTTGTTCCTAGTAGGTTGCGGCCAGTTTTGCCCCGTTCGAGTCGCTTGTTTGCTACGGCCTCTTGGTGTCTCCAAGGTCGATGTGTTTTAGCGCCGGAGGAGATCACATCATCACCAGCTCTTCAGATCCTCGGACGGACTGGACGATGGCCCCGCCGACGCATGATTTGGTTCCTAGATTTGTCGGGCACGTTCTTTCGGCAGAACCGACTGGTCCCGTTGCATCCAGCCACTCCTTGCAGAACTGCTTAGAATTCCTTTGACGAATCCCTGCTCCGTTTGCATTCTCAAAAGTTGTCGGAAGACAAGCAGCTGCTTCTCTTGACACATTATATTCATCAGCCGGTCTTTTTTCATCGACCAAGGACTGGAACGTTCGGGTCTACAGCATCAAGGAAGAGCGCTTCACCGAGGAGTTCACCGATACTTCCTTGGCGCCATGGCTGTGAAGTTCGTTGGACCATTTGTTCTCAGTAGCGTCCTTGCTCCTAATAGAAAGAATGCTCCTACTAGCGATGCCCGGGTTCCTAGTAGCGATGCCAGGAGCCCCTAGTAGCGTTCTTTCTTTGTTCTGGTTTTGTTTGAAAGCTGAGTACAAGATGAGCGAATGTAACTAGCACAATCCCCAAGTCCCAAGGCTTCGACCTTCCTCAACGGTTGGGTATCAGGGACAAGTGATGCGAGAAGTAGTTCCTTGAATTGAATTTCTCATCAGCCACAATATCTTGGAAGCAGATGGAAGAGCCACTCACAAATCTAAGAGCTTTACATGTTATAAGCCCTTCGCCTTGCACGTTCTTAAAAGAGTTCATTCATTATCCTTTATTCAGATAGCTGCTCTTGGCTCCTCAAGGTGCGGCGATGCTTCAGTCCAATGGCAAATATTAGAAACACTTAATGCTCCTTATGATCTGGGACCTTGCGAAACAAGTATCAGGCAAAGCTGCCAAACTGTGAAACCATGTGGGAGCAAGAAGGCTACGAACGGGGCTCCTGGCATCAATTCCCGCCTTCGTTGAAGCTGTTTGGGTCCACGTCCCAGGTGGTTTGCGCACTGAGCCTTCCAAAACCCGGTGCCTTGATCACCGCTAACGCTAATGCGGTGCTCCAGCCACTCGGGGAGAAAAGACGCCAGGCAGTGGAAGGTGTTGATTTCTTGAGAAATCCTGGACCAGCACTGGTGATTAAGTCACATCCCGAATAAGCCGATGGCGCTGCAATGGACATCCGTTCCTGAGGTTTTTTTGGGGACACAAGAGCAAAAAGAGATCAAACCTAGAATTGAACATTAAGAATTAAATACACCAAGAAGGGTGTGAAGGTCTAGAGAAAACGACAGAAGGAAAAAGACTCCAATGTCCTCACAGTCTCAACAATCATTGTCCCAAATCTTTGTGTTTAAGCCCCGGGAAAATCATTCAAAACCTGAGCTTGTGCTCAACGCGTGCGATAGCGTGCGTGAAACAGGGAGTTGATCCAACTTGTTCCTAGTAGCATTCTTACACTGGTATCTTTTGCACGTGTTGTTCGCATTTTTTCCCAAAGAAAAGGGAAGGCATGCTTAGTTTGCAGGTGCCGTGGGTGAGAGATGTGATAGATGATAGTTGGTGTGAGAGAGGGCTAAAATGTTAGAATGTTAGAAAAAGATGTGCAGAAACAAAATGTCAAGTAGGGGCTCCTGGCCTTACTACTAGGAACAAGAAGCTACCAACAAAGGGCATCGCTACTAGTAACAAGAAGCTACTAGGGGCTCCTGGCATCGCTACTAGGAGCATTCTTACCAGTAGTAACAAGAAGCTACTAACATTTCTTCTCGTTGATCGGGATGAAAGGATGTCGACCGTTCCATCGTTCTGAGGCTTCGTGGGTTGAAGGCCGAGAATCAGAAGGCGCATTCGCAGCGGTTCCTAGCAGCTGTGTTTTTCGCTTTGAGGATTTGAAAGGTTAGTAGCTTCTTGTTACTTCTAGTAAGAATGCTCCTTAGTAGCGATGCCAGGAGCCCCTAGTAGCGTCCTTGCTCCTAGTAGCGATGCCAGGAGCCCCTAGTAGCTTCTTGTTACTAGTTGAAAAATCGTATAGAATCTTGTGAATGTGAAAAGAATCTTGCCTGGTAGGGGGGGCAGGTCATACAATCAAATGACCATGACCAGTTCGTCAGATTTCATGTGACAGGTACGCTTGGACCACTATGCACGTTCCATGATGCTGGCCTTAGGAGGCAAGCAACCTCTCATCGCGTCGACAGCGGCCAGGGTCAGCTACACTTTTGTGGATTGGCGATCCGATCCTTTTCAATCCCAGAATTTACAGGTTGGCCAACGCTAGGAGCGAGGATGCTACTAGTAGCTGAACAAGAAGCTACTAGGAACAAAGGGCATTTCTCCGGAGACCTCGTATTTCTTTTGCAGAACTAGCTTGCTGACCCCATAGAGGCCTTCAATCTTAGCCTTTACGCCTTACTTCCTTTGTTTTGTTCGTTCGTTCCTTTCTTTAGACCTTTAGGCCTTAGACGTCGAGTCGCTTTGGCAAGCAACATGAACGGGTTCGAGAGGCCGGCGCCTGTTGGCGGGCACCAGCCGGGGCCATGTCCACTTCTTCGAGATCACAAATCAAGGCCTTGAGAGGCCAGGATTGCCATCAGACCGTGTTCCATGTTGGACAGAGCAGGTTTCCTAAACTCTTCAAAGACCTTATTTAGTGCCTGTGCAATGTTTGGTCGGGTTCTCACATGCATTGGCCAACGGTGTTTTTGGTGAGCTACAACAACCAATGCTTGCGTTTCTTTCGTCGTCCACTTGCGTCGTTTTTGAGGCTGAATCAAGAAGGCTTGCAGGTGGGCCCGAAGGGTCGAAGGTGCAGTGGCGGGAGAGCTTACTAAGTCATGTGGTTTCTACTACCTAGACGAAAGGATAGCTCACGCTGTTCATGTGTTCACTGCTCCCAGCACATGTGACGTCTAGAGAATGACAGATGTAGACTAGGCTTTTTTGTGTTTAGCCCGCTCCCCCCCCCTCCCTACTTAATTAAGTAGAGACGACCTACTTAATTAAGTCGGGAGCTGAGGTAGCTAGTACCTTAATAGTACGCTACTACCTACTGGACGCAGGATAGCTCATGCTTGCACTAATGACTTGGTTCCTAGGTGTTTAGGGAAACTTAATCGGTTTGCCTTCAAGAGAAGATTCTGATTCGTTGACAGCGAAGAGAAGAACAGCCGAGCTGAGTCATGCGCAGGTGGGTCAGAACCAAGCAGCGTTGACTTGTTTGACGTTGGCGCCTTGCCCAGAGAACCCGCCCTTGGTGGTGGCCAATTGCATGGACCGAACAGGGGAAGTGGGAGTGGGGAAGGAGGAGCAAGGACACCAAAAAGTAAAACCTTTTGATGCGTCATGTTGTTACTCCCTGAGCAACTATTCATAGGACCTGAGATGTAGATATGGATAGATATGGTGTTTTGTTGGAGACCATCCAAAACACATTTTTGCTATGTTTTTCCTGGATACTGACCGGAGGCGAAGTGATTTGATTTTGAATGATTCCCCCACGTGTTTTTCCGCCAGGACAATACTGTGTGCATCATGCAAGCGAATGCGCAGATCACCAACCTCACCATTCAGCGGCGGCTCTCCAACGCTCACAGGCTGGATCATATCATGACACCCAAAAAATCAATATTGTTTTTGTTTTGTGTGTGTGTCCCTCTTCCATCATGAATGGATGTTAGACTTTGTACTGCAGGCTAGAGACTTAAACTCTTCAGAAAGAAACAAGAATAAGAGTCCAGTAGCGATGGCCTCCAACCTAGAAGCGATGGTCTCGGTCTCCAACCTACTAGCGAGATGAAAATAAGAGGGTGTTGGCCATTTGTTTGGATGGCAAGTGGCCAAGTGGCTGATGGTTTCAGCATTCGCAGGCTGCTGCCGCTGCGGTCTGGAGCTCAGGGAGTCATGGCAGAGCTCAGCGGTCTTTTGTTAGCGGATGTCAGTTTCTTTGTTGCATGATGTGCAGCTGTCGATGATGAGCATAGCGTCTCGAACAGAGAGGTTTTTTCTTTCTGAAGCAACTTCCGCCCTTGGAACTCAGGGTATTTGTTGTACCCAAGACAAGAAAAGGCTTCCTGACCTTCACACTTCTTGACAATGGGTTTGGACCGAATGTTCATCCTGTATTTGATCCTGGGGCCATTCTTGGACAAACCGGGCTATGACCGCTGTTTCAGATTCTGGTGCTACCTGCGATGACTGATGTCAGTGAAATCGAAGATTCGTAGCGTCGTAGAATTCCGATCGAGACGGTGGGACATGGGACATGGTTGGAACAAGGGAAGCTCCAGAAAGCGCTGCGTTTCAGTCCGTGGTGTTTGGATGTGTTTAGCATCGAAAGCAAGGGCCTTGCAGCGGTAAAAGCCACAACCTGGGCTTCGTTCCTAGTAGCGATGCCAGGAGCTACTAGTAGCTTCTTGTTAATAGTAGCGATGCCCTTGTTACTAGTATCCCGGAAATGTAGATGGCCTTGGTGGTGGAAAGGGAAGTTCAAAAACCTTTACAGCATCAATTCCAATCTTTAATGTGTGTGTGTGTCTCTCCCTCTCTCTCTCTCTCTGTTTTTCTTTTTCTGTTGCTCTAGAGACTTTAAGACACCTTTGGATCTTATTGTTTGTTCTTCCTTCTATGTGTTTCAGAAAGCAGGCATTGCTCGCATAGCGCTCAGGTCCAGCCACGTTTCTGGCTGCTACGACCTAGGAGCCGGCGCCGGCTTCGTGGCCAGTGGTTCCGAGGACGGCGTGGCCAGGGCCTCAGGGCCTTTGGTCACCGGATGTCCCAATCGTGACAGCGAAAGCGTGCGTTTCTTGTTGGCCATACCTGGAATCCTAGTAGCTTCCGATCGCTCCTAGTAGTAAGGCCAGGAGCCCCTAGTAGCATCCGATCGCTCCTAGCAGGAATCCGGCATGGAAGAAGATGAAGGGACTCGAAGCGGTTTCAAAACTCTTTGCACACTGCGACGGGCCATCGGGTCCCAGGTCCGCATCTTCGATTTGGAAAGCCGCCCGGCACAAGCCATGGCCATGGGCAGAAGATGTTGCATCTTAAAGGACATGCTTCGCGTCAGAAAATGTGAAAAGAGAGTGATTTAGTTATATATGTAAGATATAAATTCGCTACTAGTAGCTAGTAACAAAAAAAATTGATGTCTCTTATGTTGTGATTTTAGACACATCAGGACGAAGCGCCATACCTCCGATCATATGTGTCCCACCAAATTCGATCTCGACCTAGCGATTGTGCCATTCACCTGAGGTTTTACCGAAGAATCTTTGGAGAGTCGCACGGTGCCAACTGTTCCTGTGGTGGATGTGGCTGCCATTCGGCAAGCAAAAAGCAAAGAAACAGGGAAGCGATGGCCTCCAACCAAGGAGCAAACTATATTATACCTTTATTCCCTGTCTTTTTTCCTTGTTTCTAATAGCAATGGCCTCCAACCTAGAAGAAGGTGGACACTCAAAAGTCCTCCTTGCAAGATGGTGTCGGGCGTCGATCTACTTTGACACTGGTTCAAAATGTTTAAAGCTTGGAATAGAATTCAAAGGTGCTGATTCTTACTTGACTTCATCCCTTGAAGGGTTCTTTTCCGTTCTACCTAGTCAAAGCCCGCATCGCCAAACCATCGACGAATGGACCCGATCAAACGTCCGCAGCACTGGCGTCGGCTATGAGTCTTTCTTTCGAGTCATAGTAGCGTCCGATCGCTCCTAGTAATCTCAGAAACATCTCAAAATCGCCTGGGAATCCCAACCACTGAACGTTGCAGTCGTGGGTGTGATACGACCGCAGGTTCTACTGTAGCTTGCTTCTGAACTTAGGCAACCTGGCAGCTCACCAACTAGCTTACTCATCTAGCCAATCGATCAAAACCCCTCAAAGCAACGTGGGAATTCAATTGGCTGAGTGCAAGGTGTGAGAGATTCGATTTTCTAGGCCTTGTAAAGAGACTTGTTCTCGTAACAACAAGAATTGTAGACAAAGGAAGCAAGAAAGGAAGGAATTTTGAAAGGTCTAATTAAGGGTCTAAAAGAATTGAGTATGTTTAGATGTGTTAGTTTTTGGTTGCCAAGAACAGACCTAACCCGGCAAGGAAACTTTGTTAGGCCCGAAAGGGAAAAGGAAATTTGAAATGTTGGAAAAGAAAAGAAGGGTTCAGTCAGTTATTTATGAAGTTCAGAAGTAATATGAAGTAAGTTTTTTTTCAATGAAACATGGACACAGCTTCCTGTGCTCGCAAGGTGACAAAGTCTTGTGGCCTCATGGCCTCCGGCGACGTGCACGGCCGGATCGCCCTGCCGGGATGCCCGTTTCGAGTGGTTCCAAGAGATTGGAATTTAGCTTAGTTTAACGTGGAGTTAGAGGGTCCTTCTGCTAAATGATAGCTGCTTTCCATCCACAAGCAGCTGCCGCGTCAGACGCGTTTCAGGCTTGTGAGAGCCTGGCCTGGGGAGGGGGTAGTGACGATGCCCTTTGTTACTAGTAGCGAACATTGCTTCTAGTAGTATGGCCAGGAGCCCCTAGTAGCATCCTTGCTCCTAGTAGCGATGCACTTGTTACTAGTAGCATTGATGTTTGAATCCAGGAAGTTGTTCTCTTGATTTGTGAAAGAAGACGACTTGCAGATGCTGAAGTAGAAAAGGTATCTTCTCACAGAAATGCACTCAGGTGGCGCCGTGGCGAAAACAAAAACCTGGCAAACGGCGTGCATTGAGTTTTTTTGCAGAATCTTGCAGAGGTTCAGCGAAAGATTTCCAGGTTAAGCTTTAAAAGTTTCAAAATCCGGCCGTTTCCAGAAGGTTCCAAATGAGTCCAATCTTCTTCACGATTGGCAGCTCAAGAAGTCAAGAGCATATCCACTGCGAAAGAGGATGAGTTTACTGGAAAGGAGTTGTTTGCTCTCCAGAAGCTCATTTGGAACGCTGCAAATGAAGATTAATATCTGGGTGTGAGACTAAAGCCACGGTTGATGCCTGTGTTTTAATTTGTTGCAGTGTTGACAAAGGGCTTTTTGGCAGACAACAACCGTTGAACCCTGAAGTGGCTTCATAGTCTCATCTCCTGGCTGAAAGACATTGCCCTCAACGGCTTGTGTCTATGACCCAAACCCACACAGCCTGACGATGTCTTTCTTTAAAACGGCACCTCAAAGAAAGCATACATTTAAGCCCGCCTGATCCAACGGAGGTCATTCAATAGACTCAACGAGTACTTCCATTTTCGGTCCTAGGGTGAAAGAGATTTGGGGCCATGTTGAAGCAAAGCGCTGCCGGAGAGCACTGGGACACGTGCCGATGTTGGGAAGTTGAAGAATCAGAAAGAACTGTACTAGGTTGATAAATGAGAACCGATCCTGCCACTTCCCCATTGGGCTCCAACGAAATCTGAGACTCCGACTCCCTTGACAATCCCCTTGATCAACTCCAGTTGACTGTTTTTCAAGGACGTTTTGTCAGTATTTTTGGGGGCTATTAGGTTGGAGGCCATTGCTTTTAGGTTCGAAGGGCTTTGGGCCATAGCTCAGCTATTGCCTTCCCCGGATCCAATCGCCGAACAGCTAAATGGTAGCTGGCACGAACATGTGTCAAAAGGGGAAGATTTGGAAGTGGAACAAGACTTGGAAATGTGTTCAGTGTCTTTCCTGAGTTTTTGCGCTAGGTGTCAAACTGACTTTGCAAAGAATCTGCAGGATTCTTCGACTTTGTTCGAGGAATTCTTTCATCGGACAAAAAGAAGCCTTCAGTTGCAATTCTCTTTCCCTGTGACAATCTGTTTGCTGTTCAGAAGATTCGGCGCAGAACCGTTAATTCGGCGAAATGCTCTAAGCACCGCGGTAGCGCGGTGTGGGATCAGCAGTGGAACGGTGGATGAAGTCTCGATTACACTCGAGTCCTGGCGGAGTTTCGACAGTTCCGAACGTAGCGTCCGATCGCTCCTACCTTAGTGATGGTATGTTCATTAGCGACGGCCTCCAACCTAGCCGCGTCCCAACTCGCGTGGAGTGACCTCGTCCGAAGAGTCCGACTTTTGCCATCGGGACACCCTGCAGGTCCACAGTCCACCATCGATTCACCGCCGGCGAAAGTCGTGCAGAAAAAAGAGCTAGTAACAAGTGCCTCGCTAGTAAAGCCGCTAGTAGTAACAAGTGCCTTACTAGTAGTAAAAAAAGACTATTAGAATTAAATCAAACATGTTGTTTAGAATCAATTTCCCGCGCCTTACTTCTATTACAGCCCATGGCACAGCGAAGGTCATTTGATGATTTGGTGATGGGGTCGGTGTGCTTTCCGGCGACTTCAGCGAAGGCACTCGATTTGTTTCTCATGGTTTGACGGCTGACCTTGGCGGAAAGAACGTGCCAAGCTGGGTTCACTGAGGCTCCATTGACAAGGGCCAATGTGGGCCCAAATTAGGTTCCCGGCAGCAGCCAAGTTCGCAACCGCGGAGGTTTTTATCTCTCAGCTTTTGTCTTAACGCGCAAGATAGTTAGCACAGAATTGGAAGAAATATCCATGTCCTACTCACAAACACGGCGAACGCACCACTCCAATCTGGACCCTTTCTCAACACTGAAGCAGCTTGTGCCAACGGATAAGCCCATCTGACAGCTGATCAAGATGCTGTCATGGATCTAGCCAGAAAACCCGAAAAGTGACATGAAGATAATTTGCAGTGTTTGTCCAAGATATATTCAGACAGCTGGTGAAATCAACCACACGACAGCAAACACATTGCACTCAGTAGATCCTTCAAACAGCTTCACAAGGGCATCGCTACTAGCAACAAGGTGCATCACTAGTAGCAAGAAGCTACTAGTAGCCGTAGCTAAGTGCATTTCTGCTAGTAACAAGAAGCTACTAGCTAACAGCTTCAACTTCACACTTCGCACATGCGCCATGTGGGCTATCTCGCCCTGTTGAGCGCTGGCGTCGTTTTCGTTCTTCCATGCACAAGTTCTTCCAGGAGTAAGACACAGTCGGACTTGGCTTCGACGGAGACACGTGTTTTCTCATGTTTGTGTCAAGACCAAGTGTATCCAGTTTGGACACTAGCAACAGTGAACGTTTTGGTGACCGCGTGATCTTCGCCGTTCATGTGAGTTTCAATTATGCCTCAACGTTCATAAATCGGTTTGGCTAGCGGCTAGCCTTGTCATGCAAGGGGATTTTGCATGTTTGGGATGCGGATAGGAACAAGGACGCTACTAGGAGCAAAGGGCATCGCTACCAAGAGCAAGGACGCTACTAGGGGCTCCTGGCCTTACTACTAGGAGCAAGACGCGACTAGGGGCTCCCCTGGCATCGCTACTAGGAACAAGGACGCTTTGAGAGATCGGCCCAGGAGTGTCCGTACGGCCCCAACGGGCAGAATGCATCGGAGGCGAGCGTCCATGGGAGTCCCGTCTTCCGTTCCACAACCGTTTTGTTTTCTCTTTTTTCTCTTTTAACCTGCTCCCTACTTAAAAATTGAATAGGCGCCTACTTCATTAGTAAGGGAGTAGGCTCCTAATTGGACGCAGGATAGCTCACGCTTCTTCAAGAAAGCTTGAAGAAGCGCTCGCACTAATGATTTGATTCCTAGATTTTCAGGGAAAACAGCTGAGCTTCCAGCATTGACCGCGATCTGTTCTGGCGAGGCCTTTTGTGCAACGTGCCGAGCCTCCACAGAAGGATCCACCGCCAAGCACAGCGCCGGGTGTGGCACCCTTCCTGCTGCCTGGGTGGAATTGGTGCAAAGCTTTGCGAAGTCTTTCATGAAAGAATACCCTCCTCCTAGGCTCTAGAAAGCTCTAGTACCCTTACCAGCAATATCCAATTCATTTTGGTGGAAGCCACAAAGAAAGGCCCAAGCTTTGAATGACCAGGTTGTTGCTGCTTTCAGTGACACAAAGGAAACTGTTTGTTGAACAAAGACTGGTCCTGAAATACAGGTTCAACACCACAAAAGCAAGCAAAAGTTGCCGAGAATAGTTCGCTTCGTTCGCTTCGGAGGCTGGATCCTAAGGCTTGCTGCTTTTCTTGCGTGGAGATGCTTCGATAGCGTTTACTTCTATACAGCCCGCACCACAACCACCACACGCCACTCGCTGGCAAACGCAGTGGCAACTCAGTGGCGCACGGTTCCAAACCGGCCGGCTGGGCCTGCAGTGGGTGTTGTGGGGTGTCAATGTCAGATGTTTTTTTCATGCTTTTTTCCACTGTTTCTTTGATCTCTTTGGTCCCCTTCTTTCTTCTCTTCTTTGATGGACCAAGGAAAGTCTGCCTGTGAATGTGCTTTGGTTTTGAATCCATTGGGCTTCTTGTTCTGTCCAGTGAGTAAAACCTCTCAGGTGAGGGCATTGACGAGAGCTCATTTCAGCAATCCAAAGATGTCATTACCAACATCCCAGGACGTGCCCTGGAGATCTGGCTGAGTTGGGATAAGAGCCTCAAATCTATAGCCTGCTCCCGTCAGGAATTGAGGTAGATAATACCTACAAGTAAGCTAACTACTGGACGCAGGATAGCTCACACTAATGATGTTGTTCCTAAATTTGTAGGGAACTTAACTTATATTAGACCGTTCTTCATGTTTTTGTTTCTTTGTTTCAAATAGGAATGGCTTCCAACCTGATAGCAATGGCCTCCAACCTAATAGCAATGGCTTCCAACCTAGAAGCGATGGCCTCCAACCTAATAGCAATAGCCTCCTACCGAACTAAGAACTCTTGGATGAAGACTTTTGGAAGTGTTTTGTTACTGCCAGCATTCTTGAATTCGAAAGCATTGCCGTTCCAAGGCTTCCTCCAAGATGAAGAAGGTTCACCGAAGCCTCCGGATGCAGAGCCGCTCTTCCAAGCCGACATCGAGCACAAGCTGCACTGAGTCGGAGGGAGAAGGGAAGAAAAATGGAGGCCGTTTTTGACGTTTTCTGAGGAGCTTGTGCGGTTGTGTCAGTCATCTTTGATCGAATCTCCGGGCAGGTAAAGGAATGGAGATGAACTGAGATCAACTTAAGACAGACCATGTTAACAACAATTGTGCTCACTGTTGTCACCACTGATCAGTCGTAGATTCTGAAGGAAAAATCGACCTGAGTGAGAAATGTTGATCAACTTGCCTGCACTGTAGATCACCATGAATCATGAATCAGAGCAAGGACGCTACGATCGGGGCTCCTGGCCTTACTACTAGGAACAAGGTTCGCTACGAACGGGGCTCCCAGCATCACTACTAGGAGCGATCGGACGCTACTAGGAGCGATCGTGACTTGGATTCCAAGGACTTGGACTTGTCAAAAGTGGTGGACCCGATCATCTCCTCGATCCTTGGAGTTGTTGTTTTAGCCCGTGGGGGGGGGGGTAGGCCGTGTAGAGGAGGTAGGTAGAGGGAGGTAGTAGCTAGGGAGTCACTAGCAGCTTAAGTAGCTACCTACTGGGCGCAGGATAGCTCACGCTAAAGCTCGCGCTGGCATTATGCATTTGGTTTCTAGATTTTCTCGGGAAACTTCACTTTAACTCGAGACACAAGTCGTTATACGACTGCTTGGTACTGGACCACTTGTGCGTGAAAAGATGCAAGATGAGGAAGTGGTTCGACTTGGTGCTGGATTCAGGAGTCTTGGACTTCCTTTCCAAGTGAAGAGAGCTGCTGGATTGTCAACGCCTTCCTTTTGTTCGAGGAAATCAGCTGAGATGGCTATGGGAAGTTAAGGCCATGAGCATTTGTCGATCTAAGATATTACTCTGTCAGCTCAAAAAAACTTACAGGTGCTTTGTTAAGAGAATTATCCATGGGTTGAGCTGCCATGTTGTCCTTCTCTTGGTTTAAGAAGGATGAACCCTGC